TATTTATATTTTTATATTTATTACTTTAATATATATATTTATATATGCAAAAGCATATGCCACATTAAGGGAAAAATACTCTCAACCAGCCTCTGAGTTCTGTTTTTGTTCCAATAAAATCTATTCAGATATTCCTTTGATCTTACTTTAATGTCTCTGATTTCAATGAATTGTTTTAGTGGAGAGATCTGAAACTGTTCAAAATTAAAGGGATCCGGTACATTTGAGCCTAATTAGTACTGAAGAAACGCGCCTTATGTGCGTCTGAACTATAAGAATTTGTCTGCGTAAATGGAAGACTTCAGTATCCACACTAGCAATCTTATTTTACCAGCATTTCTCTGTGTTTGTATGCTACAGTATATAAAAATAAAAGAATAGAGTGGTCATACTGGGTTCTGGGAATCTTGCACACTTCTAGCACGGTTGCAGAGTACTGTAGTGCTTGTGTGTTTTACAGTGGGAGCTGACGCCTATGCAGCAGCGATTTTGCAGTGTCGCAGGCAGCCGTGGGTGAGAGGCGGGGGGCTTGTTTGTGGCAAAGCTGCTGCGTGTGATGTGGAGCGTGCTCCCAGGAGAGATGCAGAAAACTTGTGAAGCTGCTTAACGCTTTAGAATGGTTCTAAATTCTGCAGAAAATTGCTTTATGGAGGAGGCTGCAGATCCAGAAAAGCTTTTAAAGATGCAAAGCATGCTGTGATGATAGCCCCAGCTCTGCAGCACCTGTTCTGCAGCTGTAACTTCTGCTGATAATGTTCCCCGGCTCCTGCAGCTGCAGTTGCCTCTCTTCTCGGCCCTTGGGATATTGTAAGGCTAACTTTGCCAGGGGAAAAAATAGCTTTCCGTATGTGAAACGCTCTCCCGGAGGCTTTATTAGGGGTCTTCTAAAAGCTCCCTTCTAGAGTTGGCATCTACTACCTTTTCCCGGTGTACTAGGTTTGCACACAGCTCATGTGCTTTCTTGCTCCTGAGCTTTCACTGGACTCTGCAGAGGGTTTTGCTGCCTCTCAGCTGACAATGGTAACAGTAACCACTTGCCTCAAGCTGTTGCATCTGCTTTCAATCCTAGGGGAAAAAAAATAGGCATAAAGATGTCTTAGAGGTTGTAGGTAAAAGTATCTTAGAAATTTTATCTCCAGCAGTACTCAGAGGCAAGGTTATAAAGATTACCTCCTTATGTAACTTTTCCAGTTGAATTGTGATTCAGGATTTTCTTCCTAGTCAAGGTCTTAAATCCTTTATTTAACAGAAGCAAGTTGCCTGCAGCGTATTGGTGGAGAATGCAGAAGGTATTGTCGTTTGACCTAATAGAAATTTGAGTGCCGTTTTCCACAGACGAAACGTTTGTGCGTTACAGTGTCACCATTCTGCATGACTGGTTCACTGATAAGCTACAAGTTAGAGGCCTGTTGTTGTGGATTCTGGACAAATACACCAAAGAGGCAGAGTTTGCCTTTGTGAGCTATTGCAGTAAAGCAGAAATTTAGAGGAAGGAATATTATCCAACCTCTCTAGGTAGAAAAACTTGAGGTGGTAGCAAATCGTGTCCAAACTCGCATAAAAAGACCATGGCAAAGCCAAGAAAGAAATCAATATCTCCTGACTGCGTTCTGTGCTTTCGTCATCATGAGGCCATTCCTCTGGGGTTTCTTTTTTTTTTTTTTTTTTTTTTTTTTTTTTTTTCCCTTAAACGGGGAAAATGAAAGATCTCTTTAGTCCCTGGGGTGCTACTGTATGGTCTCCCACTACTCTAAGTGTCCTGCTTTCAGCGCTGGAATGTGACTGTGCTTGTTGCTTGCTCAAGGATTTAAGCCATTTACTTTGTTTGTTTATAATAGAGTTCTGGTGGGAAGGCAGATGTTATGTGGGAAAGCTATTTTCTGGATCTGTTTATCCCAGTTATGTGGAATCTCACAGACCACCACTAGCAAGTATCTATTAGGGATCAGTTTTGTAATTTGGTAGTTGTATAAGAAAAAAAGGGAAATGTGTTGGTTCTTGTAAGCTTCTTTGCCTCAAAAAAACAATGATTTGGCATGCTTTGGTGTTTAAAACGGACATGTGTATGACTTTGTTTCTATATAGTCATTTGACCTTTTGAAATATTGATATTTTAGGAAATGGTCTGAATTTGTACATATCTGACAGTAAACAGCTGACTTGAACTCCCAAAATACATTGCCTGAGCAATACTTAGCTATGAAGAGTTGTTTCTAAATAAATCTCATTTGAATGTCTGTTTCCAAAATTAAAAATCAAAGTTTTTACTCTTTCATCCTTTTTTTTTTTTTTTTTTTTTAACCTTGGCATCTCTTACCTCTTGCATACTGCAAGAAACTCAGCAGTTGAATTGGATGCTGACTTGGTAACAGAATAGCTGAAAAGGGCAGGTCTGCAATTTCCTGGGACTCGTGTTTCAGAATGTAATCTTTAAGATCCGGCCTGTCTTCTGCTGATTCTTTTCAGCAATGATTTTACAGCAGACTGTATTCACAAATTCACAGATTCGTAAGGTTTGTGAGAAAACTAGTTAACCTATTAATATTTTGTCAAGAAAGAGCCTTAACTGGAGTATCCTTCTGCCTGTGAAGACTAGAAAGCTTCTTACTCTTGCATATCTGTTATTCTTACCAAGGATTTGTTAGCTTGCGAATTTCCAAAGCTGTATGTGTTGAAAGAACAAAATAAACACTGTAGAGAGCTTATTTTTGTCTTTTCCTATAGTTCAGTCAAACAGATTAGACATGGACAGAAAACCCTTTCTTTTTTAGGGGGAGGATGACCACAAAATCAGATTTTTTTTTTTTTTTGGAGAGGGAAAAAAAAATAGACACGCACCGCTGTGTGTTTGAAAGAAACAAAAATCTTTATTGTTTTGCAAGGACAGGCTTCAAATTCAAAAATCCTTTTCTGAGATTACGCTGACAGTCTGCATGCCTGTGGGGTGCTTCCCTCCTGCATTTGGTGCTGGAGAAACAGGAATTGTCCAGGTCGGAGCTGGAGACTGGTTGCCAAGAGCAGAGGCAACTTCAGGCCTGTTCCCCGTACTCTCCACAGGCACGTGGCGAAACCAGCTAGTTTCTAATGTATTTGGTCTGTTCTAGGCTGTGGTTTGGGAGGAGAAATGTTCTGCAGAAGATTTTCTGACCAGTGCCAAAGCAGATGAGAAAGTATGTGTTTGTTTAGAAATGGGGAGTCTTGAGCCTAATTAGCAAAGTATTCGGTTTCATCACAGCAGCAGTTGTAGGATGAGTTGTCAGCAGTGGCTGCTTCTGTTTCATCCTGTGGATTGTAATTATTGTACCCATGAACTACAAGACTCTCTGGAAGCCTCATAATACTTGTTTTTATCAGTGCAGTCTAGTTTGTTCATCTCTGTTTTAAATCGGACAGAGAATGCAGTGCGAGTTCACAACTTGTTTATGTGTGTGTATGCTATGGAAGATGAGAAAACTTGCTCTCTTTGCTTTCTGCTTAGGATTAAATTTGTTTAGCATTTAGCAGAAAATTGCTGTAGACATGAAAGTTAGATAGGGAAGGGTTGCAGTGGTTAATACTTTTAATTTGTGACTCTGCAGCCATGGATGTAAGTGCCTCTGATCTCATTTGGAAAATGCATTTTATAGCACTTGCCTATAACACAAAATTGTGCGATAAACCTAGCTGGTGACTGTAAGGTGCTAAGGTGTTACTGGGAAGGAGCTATATAAAAGTTACAGATGTAGGGGAGAAAAAGACTAGTTATTTATGGTGGCCTATATGTTTTGGTAAGCTGGTTTTCTAAGGCTGAGTGACTAGCTCTTCCTGCAAGTTAGATGTTGCGTTGCAAGTATGTTTTAAGGTTGGTCATCTAAAGTTGCTAGCTTTTTCTAGACTTCCTGGTCAGAAGTCTTTGACTTTTAATGAAAATCTGTACCAATATTTTCTCTATAGAAATCATTATTTTTTCTTCTGCAATTACTAATAACCCAGGTAACAGGAACCTATGGCTCTGTGTGCAGCCATTACACCTCCCATGGAGTCCCCAGTTATTGGAAAACCATGCTTTACTGTGGGTTTTATTTATTACTTGGTTGTGGAAAGTGATGCCAAATATTCTAGGTTTTAATTCACATTTGAACAGTATCTGCAGGCAGGGTGGGATGAGCTTGTGGCATTTCTTGCCTTATGAGCATAGGGGAATGAGGTTCTCGCAGCTGAAGTGGGGAGGTACAGAGAGCTGCGCAGTTTGTGGGCGAGAGGCTTTACAAAGGCAGTTAATTGCAAAACAAGACTGTTATTACCTGTCCTTGAGCCTGAACTTCTGCCGACATGATAATCATGATGTTCAAAATCACTCTCTGCTCACAGTTTAGTAGCGAATAGAACTTAACAGAGTAAAACTGAACCATTACTCTTGCTGTCTTCCAAAGAAAACGGCAGATGAGTTTAGGATCTTGAAATAAAAATTAGGCTTCGTGTCTGCCGAGGAACCGCAGCAGACCTCCGACTGACTTGAATCCTGACTTTAAATCTTTCAGGTGGCAGAAACCTGTCAGAGGCTGTTAGCCTTCAGGTTTCTTTCCTATGAAGCTCTTCCGTTTGAGGCCTTGAAGAGATGATGTGAAGTGTGGATGAGGGAGTGCAGCAAGCTCCAGCTTTGCCTTTATGCCGTTTGTACGAGTGCATGAGGGCTGCAGCTAAGCTCTTACAATATTTGCCACGCAGGTGGAGTCATAAGCATAAAACTGGAGAAATAAGCATATGATTGGGCTTTCTTATTGTTTTAAACAATGTTTGTAACAGGTATCCTGTTATGTAGCAATAGCTACTTAGATTCTGACAGTATTCACTGAGAGAAGTCCAAAAGATGTTTTAGGGTATATGTACATATTTATTCACTGTTACAAGTGTTTCTTTGTGTAAGTATTAAATAGGAGAATTATATATAACCAGCAGAAGTATTTTGAAAGGAAAATCCTCAATAAAATATTTTATTTTGCGTTGTTTTTCTTCCACAGACATACATTGGCAGCGTGGTGATATCAATAAACCCCTACAGATCTCTACCCATTTATTCTCCAGAGAAAGTTGAAGAATACAGAAACCGAAACTTTTATGAGCTCAGTCCTCACATGTAAGTACAGTGAAGAAGCTTTAGTTTCCCTTCTGTTCTGAAACAGATGGTACCAGCTGTCTTTCTCATCGAGAAGCCTATGTTGATTAAAACAAACAAAACAAAAATCACCCCCTTTGACATGAATTCATAATAGTTGATTCTTATTTTAAGGAAAAGTCAAGATAAATGAGTCTTTCCAGGCATGTGTTTAGATCCATTTGGTTATGTCCATTTCAGAACACTTTCCTGTAAATCTTAGTGATAGCCTCTATACCTCTTCAGGTTTGTAAAGTAGGTAGTCTGTTTTCAAGGAAACCTGCTTCTTTCAGAGTCCAGACTGCCTTGTGAAAGCATCTAATTGTTAAATGTGTATGAGTAATACAGTATTACTTTTGATTTTTGAGCCTCTTAATTTCTCTTTGCACAATACAAAAAATAAACCCCTTATGATGATTGCAGAACCTAATCAGGTATGTCTGAATGGTATAAGCAGAAAAATATGAGCTTCATCTCCTCTGTTCTGTGCTAGGCAGAAGTGAACCAATTATAAGAGGGCAACTAGAGTGCCATCCATATATGTTATCCAAAATTTAAGGATAAAATATATTGTATATATACAGATATATAATACCATATTATAAAATATAACTTGCGTATGATGTAAATTCCAAGACTAAATTTAGGAATGGAAAGTCTGGAAACTAGTATAATGTCATATCTCTCTTTCATTTGCCTTTTATAACTCCTGTATGGGGTTGCATATTGCAAATAAGTCAAAGGCCTTGTCTTTGTTTAATCTCTTTACTGTGCTGGAATGTGGCTGTGAAGAACTGACATAACCTATGTCATGTGGGCCTAGTCAGTTACTGATGGTCAGTATTGCGTTAACTGAATGTGGTTAAGCCTTGTGCCTAGTAGGACAGGAATTTGATCACAGGTCTGGTATGACTGAAAATGAGGTATCTTGTCTTCAAGACCCGTATTTTGCAGTCGTCATTTCATCTTACTAGATACTATATTCCTGAGATTAAAGCCAGCTGTTCGTCTTCTCTGCATGATGCTGGGGTAGGTAAGTGTTTCCTGCATACTGTGAGATTGTCACTTGACTTCGCATTTACATATTCAGGAGACTGTCTTGAGTGACTAGTGATCAGATAAGTGTCTAAACATGGACATGAATGTAGGCATCTTCCTTTAGTGTAAGCTATTAGATTAAGAGGAAAAGATGTACTCAAATTGTTTTGGAAGTTATCTTGTACTGATTTTTTTTTTTTTTTTTGCTTTCATCCTTCATCTGTAACTTTTGCAAATATATTGCTTGAAATGCAAACAACCAGTTAATGAGATCAAATAAGCTTCTTGTAGTTCTTAGCTTCTGTGGGTCTGAACTCTGACTGTATTCAGGTTTTCTTTCTTCACAATTTTGTTTAGCAAGCACAATTGCTTGCTAAAAGAACTTTCTGCTCTGCTAACTTTGTTCAGCTGCATAAAGTCTACTGTCATATGATAGAAGATTTTTAAAATTAAGTCTAGGAGTAACAGTTTGTTTAACGTTTTGAAAGTCAGTATTATGTACTTGATTCCATTTAGAATAGAGTAATATATTCGTCTGTGTTTCTCCATCTTTTGTAGAAGAGATGTTTTCCTGGAATAAAAATGGTCAACGTTCTTGTACCTATTTTATTTGTTCAGTGCCTAATCCAACCAAGTATACATTCTACTTTGATTAGAGAAATGCTTGCCCTTCATTATCAAGAGGGAAATTATCTTCAAGGCAGAAAGGGCAGATATCAGAAGCCTGGATAAAGAGGCTCAGGAAAAGAATAAGAATCTTAACACACTAGAAAAATGTTTCATAAACGTCATTCATTGCTAATGGCATTCATTATGTCATTATGGTCAGGCTGCCATCTCAGAACAGCAATTTCTGGAATCTAAACACTCAAAATCCACTTTAAGAGTGGTAGATTGAAGTGAGAAAATGTTGAGTATTAACTTATGTGAGGAAATCTTGACTGTGTAATGGTAATATGATTTTCCTTACAAGTTTGGATAGAGTGCCAACTAGTGAAAAGTAAAAGACTAATTTGTCTTGGACAGACATAATCTGTCGACAGATTTTCCTTATTTAGTATTGTTCCTATAAAAAGTTATGTCTTCTGACACCTGTTAAATAGACAAAATATCCTTAAAGAATACAGGACTAGGAGATAATTTTGGTTACAGTTTCTTTTACAGATGAAGTATTTTCTTTTCAAACTGTAGAAATATGGAATGATCTTACCTGCTGGTTGACTATTTGGGGCATGGCTTGGCAGTGAAATTCTTCTTGGCAGGCTGTAGGGACTAATGAGAACTGTAGAAACGAGTCACTTTGGCCCCTTCTCAAAAGGGGAACACTTCTGACCATCTTTAACAGATACTCTTAAAATACTGTAGTTACTAAAAGTAAGTGTTACCTATGTTGCCTTAAGCCATCTCTTAATATCCTAAACAACTTTTCATTCCCTTTAGTATATCCTGCCTTGTAATGGTAGCCTAAAGATTCATGCTGGTACAGTGGTTGAGCTCGGAGGGTGGTGATATGCTCCTGTTGCAGCCAAGCCCAGATTGGTCCCGGCTAAGCAGTAAGATGCTTATTAGACGCTTGCCTGCCATGCTGATGGGCGCAGACAAAGAGCTCTGTCTGCAATGGGACAGGTGTGGCCCAGCCTTGGATCTTGCAGCCCAATGCCACGGTTGCCTGGTCAGAGAGGAGCAGGCTGCTGCTAAAGAAGGGTTTGGGCGCGTTTGGGGAGGTTGCCACGCTCTTCTGCAGAGACCTCGCAGGCTTTTTTAGCAACTTGGGAACTGTAATGAAGATATGCTGTGCGACAGATTGCAATTTTGTGGTATTTCTTCTGGTGTGGGGAGGGAAAAACATGCTGACTTGTTGAAACTGACGTACTTATTCTTCTTGGACGTGTAAAGCTCAGCTGAGCCATGGCCTCTTCAGAAGAATGGCCGGGGGTAAACCCACTGCACCATTTAATTGTGCGCCTTGGGAAAAGGTTTCTGGTTCATGCTGTGTAATCCTGAGCAAACCAAAACTCTTGGTCGTTTGTAAGGAAACTAATGCATATAATCTAGAAAGTGTGTTCCTAAATAAAATTATATATAATGTGTTTATTATTTCAGCGTCTCTTTGTGACAAATAATCCATCTAATATTTATTACCAGTGCTGGCTAGAAAAATGCAATTTCATGCACAAAATTTCTAGCAGTGGTTTAGATTTGATTGGTTTCTAAAAGAATCTCATCTGTATGGCACAACAAAACTTCTATCAGAAACAAATGTGCTGCCACCTGTTTGCATGATACCTTATATTCTCCAAGGTTTGTCATTTCAGAGAGACCCTTCAGGTCTGGGAATCTCAGATTTTAAGTGTCTTCCTCTCTGGAGCAGACTGCCAAGTGACATTTCCAGAGCTAGGGCTCTGTGTAGGAGTTTCCTGGGAAATGAGGGCTCTAAATCATGTTCTAGTTATTTTGTAATAGTTTCACATGACTTACATATGCTTGAGGTATGTGTATGTGTTTGGATATGATGGTTTGGTATAAGGAGGATGTGCTCGAAAATCTTAAACGTCACAGTAAAATAGCAGGCTTGGTTTAAAAAAAAATGAAAACGGAGAAGAAAATGGGGAGAGAGAAGTATGTAACGACACAGAAGAAATCCATATTTAGAGTTTTTTTCCCTATACGGTCTTTGACAGAAGCATATTGTGGGAGTGAAAATTTGGTATTTTCTGAACCCTAATCTGGAAAGACTCAGTGAAGACAAAGAGTAAACACCTAGCCCTTTGCTCTGCGTCCCCAAGAGTTGTCTACAAGAGCGACTGACACTTTCAGTGGTGCTAGTTAGTTACTTAATTGCAGTTTTGGGTGGGGTTTTTTTAGCGTTCTTTGAAAACTAGAATAAGGCTGCAGACACCTTTTGAATGAGCAGGCAAATAGAATTTCCAGGAGAAGCAGTGTCTAGTCAGATAATTTTGCATAGAGTTATACCTTTATACCTGTTAAAATTTGATCAAAAAAGCTTTATTCTGATAGCTTATTCCTCTCCATATACACTTATATTGTTGTGACACCATGTAATAAGGCATTGCTCTTCAGGCCTCATGGAGTGCTCGTTTCCTTAATCTATGGCCATTTGCCTAGTTGGAATAGGAAGTTTACCAAGCCTTTTATTTGTTTTTCAGTGTTCCATTAATCTTTTTTTGTTGTTTTTGTCTTTACCTGCAAGTTAGGATCGTGCTTGTCTCTGGCTTGATGGGGCAGAGTATGGCATTTCAGTTCAGACAATTTGGTGTTTGATGTGTGCGCTCCTTACCCTTCCGTTCTGCTCTTTCTGCTGATATAATTACTGCTTTGCTTACCTTGTGGATAACCTAGACATGAGAAAGAACCAAGATGTCTTATATTTTGTTGCTAATCCCTAGTGACTTCCCTAGGCACCAAAAGTGCCTAGTATGAAGTGATGACAAATACTGGAAATCTTTATGTCAAAAGCCGTAAGAAATAAATGGTTTATCATACCATTTTTTAACCACCGTGATGTATCATTTTCCTACCAGTAACAGATTTGCTTTAAGGGATTGCCACGTAGGTGCTCTCTTGCACCTCCTATCTTAATCTTGGCTCCTAACTATTATTACCAGCTCTCCATTTCTGGGAGCAGCATGGTACATGGCCCGTGCTCCCTGCTGTCACCTTCTGAAACCTTAACTTATCCCTTTAGAAGAATCGCAGATTATTTTAAGAGGAGGGACAAAAGATAAGGTGACAACTGTACTGCTAATGATAAAAACTAGTAAGAGTTCAGAATGAACATGCATTTTTTAGCTGTACACTGAAATATTTAAGGTTAATAACTGGGATGTCCGGAAAATATCTGCAGAAGGTTTTTGTCAGGCAGCATATGTTAGAAAAGTAACTTACCTTCCGATCTATTGCATTTCACTTAGACAATTTTGCTT